GGGGGGGCACGGGGGTGACCCGGTTGGCCCCCCCCCCCAGATGGCAGCCTGTACTCGGCCACGGTGGCCGATTTCCAGGCGAGTGACGCCGTGATCTACCGCAGCCTGAGCCCCGGGCAGGCCCCCCTGCGCACCCTCAAATACAGCTCCCGCTGGCTGCAGGGTACCCCGAAGTGGGGAGGGGTCTGTGGGGGTGGGAAGGGGGTCTGTGGGGGTCTGTGGGGGTGGGGTCAGGGGGTGCAGGGCTGCAATCTGGGGGTACGGGGGGGGCAGGATGCAGGGGAGGGGCTGAGCACAAGGGTGGGGACAGGGACAGGAGGTGGCAGGGGCTGACGGTGCCTCCTACCTCCCCTGGCCCCCCCAGAACCCCACTTTGTCCAGGTGCTGCCCTACGGCCCCTACGTCTACTTCTTCTTCAGGGAGGTGGCAGTGGAGCTCAGCGCCCTGGGCAAGGTGGGCGCGGGGATGGGGGGCACGGGGGGAGCACCCAGGGACCCCCCACCCGGGGGTTGAGGCAGGGGGGACTCCTGAGCCCCTCACCAGAGCGTCAGGCCTCTGGGTGCCAAGCTGAGGGGACAGCGATGATGCCTGGGGGTGCCCGGGTGCCCTGGGTGATGACCCTGGGGGTGCCCAGGTGCCGTGGGAGGTGACTTTGAGGGTGCCCAGGTGGTGGCCCTGGGTGTCCAGGTGCCAATGCCTGCAGGTGCCCTGGCATTGGGGGTACCCAGGGTGTGACCGTGGGGGTACCCAGGTGCTGACCCGGGTGTCCCGGGTGGTGACCCTGAGGGTGCCCAGCCCTGAGCTGGGTGCCCAGCCCTGACCCGGGCTCCGTGCAGGTGCTGGTGGCCCGCGTGGCCCGGGTGTGCCGCAATGACCGCGGCGGGTCCCCGCGGGTGCTGGAGCGCCGCTGGACGTCCTTCCTGAAGGTGCGGCTGCAGTGCTCCGTCCCCGGGGACACCGTCTTCTACTTCGATGTCCTGGAGGCCGTGACGCCCCCCCAGACCCTGCACGGCCGCCCCGCTGTCCTCGCCCTCTTTGGCACCCAGCCCAACAGGCAGGGACAGGGGGACAGGGGGACATGGGGACATGGGGACAGGAGGATGTGGGGACGGGGGGACAGGGGGACAGGGGGACATGGAGGACATGGGGACAGGGGGACATGGGGATGTGGGGACAGGGTGATGGTGACATGAGTAGGGACTCACATGTGGACATGGGGACACAGGGAGGGCGTTGCCCAGGGGGACATGGGGACGGACTCAACTGGGGACGTGGGGACACAGAGGGGCAGTAACACAGGGACACACACAGAGAAACAGAGCACATGGGGACACACGTGGGACACGGAGGGGCCCTGGTCACACCAAGGCCATCGTGTCCCCTCTGCTGTCACCGCAGCATCCCCGGCTCGGCCGTGTGCGCCTTCTACCTGGCAGACGTAGAGCGCTCCTTCGAGGGCCCCTTTGCCGAGCCCCGTGGGACCACCTGGGCCCCCGTGCCAGAGGAGAGGGTCCCTCAGCCCAGGTACCAGCCCAGGCACCCCCACCCCGCAGCGGGACACGCGCGGGTGCCACGGGCACCGCGTCCCCACGGCCGCTGTGCCGCAGGCCGGGCTGCTGTGCCGGGATGGGAGCTGCTGCCGGCGTTGTCACCTCTGGGGACTTCCCTGACGAGACGCTGCTGTTCGCCAAGGAGCACCCGCTGCTGCACGGCGCTGTGGGCCCCGCGGGCGGGCGGCCCCTCTTCACCCACACCGGCACCAGGTGCGGGGACAGGGCGGACTCGGGGACAGGGTGGCCTTGGGGACAGGGTGGTCTCAGGGAGAGGGTGGTCTCAGGGAGAGGGTGGTCTCAGGGAGAGGGTGGCCTTGGGGACAGGGTGCTCTCGGGGAGAGGGTGGTCATGGGGACAGGGTGGTCTTGGGGACAGTGTGGCCTTGGAGACAGGGTGGCCTTGGGGACAGGGTGGTCTCAGGGAGAGGGTGGTCGTGGGGACAGGGTGGTCTTGGAGACAGGGTGGCCTTGGGGACAGGATGGTCTCAGGGGTGGGATGGATTTGTGGATGGAGTGGCCATGGGGACAGGGTGGTCTCAGGAACATGGTGGTCTCAGGGAGAGGGTGGCCTTGGGGACAGGGTGGCCTCGGGGAGAGGAGGGTGGTCATGGGGACAGGGTGCTCTCGGGGACAGGGTGGTCTCAGGGAGAGGGTGGCCTTGGGGACAGGGTGCTCTCAGGGACAGGGTGGCCTTGGGGACAGGGTGGTCTCAGGAACATGGTGGTCTCAGGGAGAGGGTGGCCTTGGGGACAGGGTGCTCTCAGGGACAGGGTGGCCTTGAGGACAGGGTGGTCTCAGGAACATGGTGGCCTCAGGGAGAGGGTGGCCTTGGGGACAGTGTGGCCTCAGGTGTGTGATGGACTTGTGGATGGAGTGGCCGTGGGGTCAGGGAACAGCCCACGTGAGGCGGTTCAGGGCGCTGCAGGGTGACAGGGGACAGTCCTGGCCCAAGGCTCCTGTGAAGGGTGTGCGGGGCCACGGGTGGGTGCAGGAAGCCCCCGGGCAAGGCCAGCCCCAGCCCGGCTTTGCGGGGCCGTGCCCTGCCGCAGGCTGACCCAGCTGGCCGTGGACACGGGCGCGGGGCCCCGCGGGAACCACACCGTGCTGTTCCTGGGCGCCGAGGACGGGCGGCTGCTGAAGGTCCTGGCAGCTGCACAGAGCCCCGAGGCCACGCAGCCCCCCGGGGGCACCCCGGCACCGGGGGACACCCGAGAGCCGGGGGACAGCGGGGACAGCAGTGGCAAGCCGCTGCTGCTGGAGGAGATCAGCCTCTACGACCCCGGGCGGTGAGGGGCAGGGCTGGGGTCTGGGGGTCTCGGGGGATGCTGGAGGGGGCTTGTGGGGGCCATGGGAGTGCTGGGGGGGCCTGGGGGGTGGGAGCTGGCGGTGCTGGGGGGCTCTCGGGCACTGTGGGGTTTTGGGGGTGCCAGGGGGGCTGTGCTGACCCCGGTGCTGTCGGGTGCAGGTGCCGCAGCCTGCGGGGCTCCGGGGTGCCCAGCCGGGTGCTGGGGCTGGAGCTGCACCTGCCGGGCCGGGAGCTGCTCGTGGCCTTCGCCGGGTGCCTGCTGCGGCTGCCCCTGAGCCGCTGCGCCCGCCACGGCTCCTGCCGGGGGTGAGCGGGGCCGTGCGGGCTCGGGGGGCGGGAGGGAACGGGGATGGGCAAGGGAGTGGGGATGGGCAAGGGAGTGGGGATGGGCAAGGGAGTGGGAGTGTGCAAAAGCAGGGAATGTGCCAGGGAATGGGAATGTGCAAAAAAATGGGGATGTGCAAAGGAATGGGGATGTGCAAAGGAATGGGGATGTGCAAAGGAATTGGAATGTAAAAAGGAACGGGAATGGGCAAGGGAATGGGAATGGGAGTGTGCAGGAGAATGGGGATGTAAAAGGGAATGGGAATGGGAATGGGCAAGGGAACAGGAGTGTGCAAAGGCAGGGGAATGTGCAAAGGATGGGAATGTGCAAAGGCAGGGGAATGTGGAAAGGAATGGGGAATGTGGAAAGGCAGGGGAATGTGCGGGGGAATGTGCAAGGGAATGGGGATGTGCAAAGGCAGGGGAGTGTGGAAGGGAATGGAGACAGAAGCGTGCAAAAGCACAGGGACACAAGGATGTGCAAGGTCATGGAAGTGTCCAGGGGCACGAGGGCAGGGGAGGGGACAGGGGCACACACGGGCACAGGGACGAGGGGCACACACGGGCACAGGGAGGTGGATGGCAGCTGCCTCCTCGTGCCCCCGCAGGAGCTGCCTGGCTGCCCGAGACCCCTACTGTGTCTGGCTGCCCTCCAGGGGCTGCGTCCCCTTCTCCGAGGACCTTCCGTGAGTGTCCCTCCCACCCCCGGGCCCTGGGGCCCTGCCCCGTGTGGGGACACGCTGGGGACAGTGGTGATGTCCCCTCTGTGTCCCAGGAGTGGCTTCCAGCAGGACGTGGAGGGATCCCTGGGGATCAGCGGGACCTGCCAAGGTGAAGTGGGGGAGCGTGGGGGACACTGGGAATGTTTGGGGATTTCTGGAGACACGAGGGCACGGGGGATGCAGGTGGCACCACGGTGACACCGGGGTGGCACACGTGGAGGGGACAGGGGTGGCTCCAAGGGACACGGGGGGCCTGGCCTGACCCTGCTCTGTCCTCACAGGGGCTGCAGAGGATGATGATGAGGATGGAGACCTGGCCCACGGTCAGTGACATTGTCTGAGCACCCCGGGGAGCAGGGAGGGGTGTCCCAGGGGTGGCAGGGAGCCCCCAGGCTTTGGGGAGGGGGGCACCAAGGACTGGGGAGGGACTGAGGTGTCCCAGAGACAGGTATGAGACCCCCAGGAGTGGGATAACAATTCCAAGGGTGGGAGAGGGACGCCAAGGAAGGAGAAGGACCCTGGGGTGGAGGGACCCCAGTGACCAGGAGGGACCCCAGGAACAGGAGAGGGATGAGGGGGGACCATCGGGACCCCAGGGATGGGGAACCCCAGGAGTGTCAGCGGGACTGGGGGGGTCTCTGGGGGGTATCGGCCCTGCCGTTGTCGCCGGGCTGACGGGTGGTCCCGCAGGGGTGCGGCACCCGGGCCCGGGGGCCGAGCCGACGGTGCCGGTGCCGGTGCTGGTGGGCTGCGTGCTGGGCGCCTTCGCCCTGGGAGCCCTGGCCACCGGGCTGGTGGCCACCTGCTGCCAGCGCCCCGCCGTCCCCAAAGCCCCCCCGGAGCCGCCCTGCGCCCCTCGGAGCCCGGCCCAGCCCGCCGTGCCCCGCCTGTACCCCGCGCTGCCGCCCCAGGGAGGGAGCGGCTCCTTTCGGGACCCCCCCGAGCCGCAGCCGGAGCCCCCCGCGCCGCCCCCGGCCTTCGGCCCCCACGACCGGGCCCCGGTGCGCCTGGATGTGCCCCCCGACAGCCCCCCGGCGCCGCGGCGGCCGCTGGCACCGAGCCGCTCGCTGGGGGGGACCCCCGTGAGCCCCCCCGGGCCGCCGCGGGGCCTCACCCGCATGCACTCGCTGGGGACACCGGGGGGCACAGCCTGGGGACCCCGGCCCGGCGCCCTGGAGCGCTCGCTGTCCGTGAAGCCCCCCGTGCTCCCCAAGCCGCTGCTGCTGCCCGCGGCCCCCGGGCGCCACTGAGACCCCCCCGGGACGCCCCAAATGCAGCCGGGGACCCCGAGCTGTCACCTGCCCCCACGGACCCAGCTCTCTGTCCCCATGTCACCAGGACAGACAGGGATCCCCGTGTCCCCACACTGCAGTGACAAGGGCTCCATGTCTCCCGTCCCCCCGGTTTTGCTTTTTTTTAATTCTTTCTAATTTATTTTCTGTTCGTGGGGGGGATGGGAGTTGCTGTCACCCCCCCCTCTTTGGGGACACCAGGAAGGGGGACACATGGCCCAGCCCATCCTACTGTGTAGGAGCAGGGCTGGGCCGGGGCACTGCAACAGTGGCACAGGATTTTAATAAAAAATACAGAACAAAAAAAGAGCGTGAATATTGAAATTTCTGCATTCCAAAGCGTTTTCGTTGGTAGAAAAGGGGAGGGCAAACCTTTGTGTTCTTGTCCCAGCACTCAGAGAATTCTATCCTGAGTGATAAAGGTCCAAATTAATCAAATTTGCCCCAAGGAGGGGATGGGGGTGGAAGAGAGGCTGCCCCATGCTCAGCCCGACCCCCCAGCTCCCTGCTCCCCCTTCCTGGGCATCCCTGCAGGATTTGGGATAAAGCGCTCCCAGTTCCTGCAGACAGGAGGGAAACACGTGTCCAATTAACCCCAAAGCGTGCTAATTAACCCTGCTGAGAGGCAGGGCTCCCTGGCCAGGCAGGCACGGTGCCGTGGCCGGCTCGGGAAGGGCGCGAGGCCGGAGGAGGCGCGGGCAGGAAAAGCCCTGACACGGCACAGCCCGGCCTGGCCTCCCGTGGGAGGGAATTTACTGGCCAAAAAAATGTGCAAAAAGCTCCTTGGTGTTTTTCTGTGGAAGAGCTGCCTTGGGATTCCAGGCAGAGATCAAATCATCCTCACTTTTGGTCGGTTTTGGTGCACGGATGTTTCCAGGAATTAAATCAGGGGATTCCCCTCCAAAAGGTGACAACATGCTCAGCTTTATTTCCTCCAAAAATAACCCAAACATGGGAACTGTTCCATGAGCCCCATGGACTTTTTATTTTTCATTTCCTCTTCCAAATGAGAAGGTTTTTTCCCCAGCTGAAGGGATTTTTTTTTTTTTTTGGCAAAATCACCTGTTTTGGGGAGAAGGAAGGCAATAACTGAGGGTGGCAGTGGGGAAGGCACAGTACACATCAGCTGCATGTTAAAAAAGGGTTTGGTTCTTTAAAAATAGAAATTTTAGTTTCAAAAAGTGACATTTGTATCTGTAAAGACAAGCAGACTCCCAGGCTGCCATGTCTGGATTTCCATGTGCCACCAGTTTACACCACTGGCCAGTGTGGGAAGTGGAATATTTGCCTAAATATTGTAAAACCAAGGAATTTTTGATTTTGGGTGTTTTGATGAAAAACTCCCCCAAATTCTTCCTGAAACAAACAGGTGAAGGATGTTTTTCCCTGAGAGTGAGATGCTCCATGTGACAAATGTTTGACGTTGCCTCAATCCAAAAATTACCAATTTTGGAAGAAGAAATTCATGGATAAAAGGGAAAAATCCATTCCACGCCTCTGCAAATGCTTAAAGCAACACGCCAAGAGAATATTTTTGTTGCCATTCCAGATCTGGTTCCTGGGATTTGCAGGTCCTTGCACAAGGTCTGGAATTCCCAGGCAGCTCAGCACTAATCCAGCTGCTTTGGCACGGTGGGATTTCTTCCCATTCCCAACAATGCAGGTATTGACATCCCAGAATAAGCCTGGATCACCTGGCTGGCTGGAATTTTGGGGAAAAGCGAAAGCTTCAGATCTCTGCAGGTTTCAAAGCACTTTGTGGCATGGCAGGAAGTGGACACCCCTGGATTTAACCAAAAAGAGAGGAAAAAAAGCAATTTTCCTTTCCAAATGCCAGGATTAGGAGGTGACAGTGTCATTAGGTGATCCAGGCTGGTGGGGAAATGTGGGAAGGTAGGTGAGATCCCACCTGGATGAATTTCAAAGGTTGGAAAGGGGTGGAACCAAGGTGCAAAGAAAATAAAAGAGTTCCCAGTGATGAAAAGTTGGGAGGGAAATGAGAAGAACATTTTTCCTCCTCAAAGAGGGATGAGAGGCCATTCCTGCTTTATTGCTGAGACCTGGGTTATGCCCAGCTCCTACTGGGAATCCTAAATCATCCCAGTAAAAGCCCTGAGCTCAGGTTTGTCACAGAGACCCCCCATCCACCTTGGGGTCATCCCCTCTTTGTTCCACTCCTTGCCTCTCAGGAGGAGCCAGTTCCAAATCTGAAATATTCACCCCAATGGGGCTGGCAGAATCCAAACATTTTCATCTTAAAAAGAACCACGTGAGGGAAAAAAAAAAAAAAAAGTATAATTTTGATGGCTCACTAATGGAACTTGCAGCCCAGACAGGGTGAAGGAGAGGAATAGAAAGCTCTCCTGGATAATTCCTGTCTCTAAGCTCCCAAGCAGCTTTAAGCACATGCAAGAGCTGCAAACTTCCAGAGAATAAATATTTTAAATCTGTAAACATGAGTTTTTGCTTTGGGAAGGCAGAGTTTGGCCAAGCAGGGAGGAGAAATCTCATGTGAGTGACTGAAGGTAGCACCACCTAAACAGTTCCCCCTTTGTCTTCCTGGTGGGTCCCAAGCCAGGAATGATTTGTAGTAATTTGGCAAATAATTCGGAATAATTAACAGCTTTAGAAAATTGTTTTTCAGCAGGGCAAGTCTGTAAACAGACAGAACTGATGTAACCCGTCTCCGTGCACGCATTAAAGAGCTGCTCTGCTTCCTAATCCTCTTTTCCTGCCCCGAAGTTAATCCAAATAATCAAGTATCCCTGGGACACGCTGGAAGAATTGGCGGTAGTAGGCAAGGCTGGGGAATGACATCCCTTGAGGAAACAAAGCAGAGCTCTGGAGCTGTGCCCTGCTTTCTGAGCACCGTTTGTGTCTGTCTCATAAAATAACGAGATTACAGTGCCCCGGGCACTGTAATGCCTGATATTAATGGGACAGTATGAAGTTTTAGACAAATGATGGACTAACAGGTTGGGGTTTCGTGGGTTGGGTGATTTATTCCCAGACTGGGACGCTCCCCGCAGGATAAAGGAACAGCCTCTGCCAAAGAGACAACAGCCAAGTTGGCATTTCTCCTCCTGAGGGCGTTGGGTTTCCAGGAAAAACCCAAAATATTCCAGCGTGGTTTAAGTGGCGCCGACAGAAGCCCCACGGTCACTCAGCCCCCAGACCCCAGGGTGCTCACAGGAGCTGGAATGTTTCCTGCTGGAATTGAACCTGGCTGCTCCTCACCTTGGTCCTCCTGGCAGGGACAGGACAGGTGGCCCTGGGGACAGTGACAAGAGCTGGAATGATTCCTTCTGGAATTGAACCTGGCTGTCCCTCAGCTTGTGCCCACCCTGCTCCTCCTGGCTCTGGGGACAGTGACAAGAGCTGGAAGGATTCCTTCTGGAATTGAACCTGGCTGCTCCTCACCTTGGGCCCACCCTGCTCCTCCTGGCTCTGGGGACAGTGACAAGAGCTGGAATGATTCCTTCTGGAATTGAACCTGGCTGCTCCTCACCCTGCTTCTCCTGGCAGGGACAGGACAGGTGGCTCTGGCGACAGTGGCAGGAGCAGGAAAGTTTCCTGCTGGAATTAAACCTGGCTGCTCCTCACCTTGTGCCCACCCTGCTCCTCCTGGCTCTGGGGACAGTGGCACTCAGGAGCTGGAATGATTCCTGCTGGAATTAAACCTGGCTGCCCCTCACCTTGGTCCTCCTGGCAGGGACAGGTGGCCCTGGGGACAGTGGCACTCGGGTGGCACAATGCACAGCTTCTGCTTCCACCACTTCCTCCCTCTTACCTTGGAAAATAAAGCAAAGAGCAGAGCAAAGAGTCAGGGTTTCCTTCTCTCTTCCTTGAATAGAAACTGAAGGGGAAAGGCTCGAGTGTGTGGCTTGAGACTCCTGGGATTGTGGAAAACAATGTGGGAATACAGTAGGTTTAAAAAAAAAAAGAAAATAACACCACTACAGCTCAGCAAAACAAAAGTTTCAGGGTAGACCCAGCGTAGTTGGAAGGTCCAAACAACCCCCAAGATCATCGAGTCCATTTGAAGGCTGGATTGATGATCCTGGAGGTCTTTCCCAGCCTTAATAATTTGATTTTGTGCACATTAATAAAGAGCAGCACACCAATGAAAGCTCTGGAACTGGAGGCAGCAGTTTAGCAGCCCTGGCTCTGCAAAGCTTCCTTCCCTGCCCCTTCCCTTGGCTGCATCCTGCTCCCAGGGCAGGAAACTGAGACCTGACCTGTGCTGGGTGCCAGAGAGGAAAACACTCGAGCACCACGGGTCAGCAAATCAGGGCTGTGGCACCAGCAGCTTCAAGAATTTAAATTACTTGTCTCTAGACTCTAGAAAAAAAATGCTTAGCTTTGGGGAAGAGAACGGAATTGAGAAGTGAGGGGATGAGATAAACTTCCACTTTATCAAATTCCTAAATCCAAAGTTAATTAAAGGTCAAACAGCATAAAATATTATTTTGAAAAACAACACAAACCTTTCTGCCAGAAAGAGTTGTCAGAACCTCAGCGTGGGGACAGGAAACATTTAGAACAATTTCACTCTGAACTATTTATCCAGGTTTGTATGTTACAGTCAATCCATTTCTGCAGCAGTTTTTATTATTTATTTTTTAAATAACTGTTAGGGCACATCAAGGGCTGCATATGACAACATCAGACACGGTGGTTCATTTAAAATGTAATAAAAATTAAGTTATTTCTATTGGTATCCATCAGTGTTTCTTTAATTAAGTTTGAACTGGGATTAAATCAATAAATCACCCAAAAAGCAGCCCACTGCAATGGGATATTGACTGAAATGAGATAAACAAGCCTTCTCAGCCCCAAAAACAATGTTTCTTCCTGCAATTGACCGTAGTAGCTGCTATTCAATGCAGACTCCGTAAGAATGGGGCAGGAAATTACCTAAATGGGCGCAAGCTCAGTGCAGAGAACCCACAATTCCTCTTTAAGAGGGAAAAAGAGAGATCCTGTTCCTCCTAGATCAACAGATGATAGGCACACAGAGGGAAGGTCACCTAAAGTTCTTCCCGTTTAACCCTTGCAACCTGCTTTTTCTCTCTTCTTTTACCTGATTTAGCAAGTTTATCAGGTTTGTTTCATAGAGGGGTGCCAGGTGAAAACAGCCCAAGCCTGGAGTTTCCAGCACCTTGTCACCAGATTCCCCTTTAGCCCAGCTAAAGATCCTTTAAAAACAGGGGAGAGACAAGAAAAGTCTTTATCTGGAAGTGTTAAATTAAACGGTTTTGTTACAATTAAAGTGGTTGCTGATGCCATCTCGTGGGAAATGCAAAATTCACCTCTCAGGGCTGTTCCTGGGTCCTTTCTGGGTGGGAATGTCAGGATCTGGGATTTCAAAAGCACTCTCTGATTACTAAGCAAACATTCACCCAGGTGAACAGTCCCACTCAACCAAAGAATTACTCACATGCAGAAGTGTTTGCAGGATGAGGCCAAAAAAGCTTCCCAAAACTTTTCAGTAGCCTCAAGACTGCAGAGAAGCAGCAGTTTGGGTTTCCCCAAACACACAAAATTGACTTGATGAGTTATTAGAAAAATTGTGATTACTCAAAAAAGAATTTGCACTTAGAACCGGGCTAAATGGGTTTTCCCTGCAGGGAACAATGGGAAACCTCTTTATTTCCATCTAATGTGGGATAGAATAAATAAGGAGCAACCTACACATCCCCTAGACCTGCTTATCCAGGAATTTCCTTACTCAGTGTTTACACAAAGCAAAACACTCAACGCTGGCGGTAAAGAGCAAAGCAAACGGCTCCACTCTCGGGATTTGGCACGGGCAGGAATTCTCATTATTCCTCTGCTGCAATCAGCCAAATCCATTTTCTCCAGAGCTGGAGCAGGCCCACGAGTAGCCACTCACGCTGGAACCACCTTTATTTACTCCAGGGCTGGGATCCTCCTCCCTCACCTCGCCTGGTGAAAACATCCAGGGGCAGGAAGCAGCAGCTGGGCGTGTTTGGCCACATTTCAGCACTTTTACTTTCCTAAATACCCATCTGCCCTCTACTGGAGAGCAATCTTAGGGTTTGGGGTTTTGTTTTTGTGGGGTTTTTTTGGGGGGTTATGGTTTTTTTTGGTGTGGGTTTGTTTTTTTGTTTGTTTTTTTTTCCCCCAAGGTTTTCACTCTCGAGGTCCCCTACCCTTACCTGAGGTGGTTTTGGTGTTTGCTGAAAGGAAGAGATGGAGAACTTTGCCCCAGTGTAAGAATAAAGGGTGAGATGGGATGTTCGTGATGGGATTTATTCTCTGGGTGAGCATCCACCACACGGGGGTCCCCCCTCCTCAGACCTCCAAGATCGCCCCTCTCTGAGGGTCCCCCAGCCCCTTCCCTCACTGGCAGCCCTCTGAACCCCTCACGGGGGTCCCCAAAGCCCCTCACCGGTGTCCCCAAAGCCTCTCATGGCTGTCCCCCATCCTCAGACCCCCATGATCGCAGCCCTTCTCCTCACGGGGGTTCTCAAAGCCCCTCATAGGTGTCCCCATCCTCAGACCCTCAAGATCGCCCTTCTCAGGGGCTCCTCCTGCTCCTTCCCTCACTGGGAGTCCTCTGAACCCCTCATGGGTGTCACCCCTCCTCAGATCCCCAAGATCGCAGCCTTTCCCCTCACGGGTGTCCCCATCCTCAGACCCTCATGATCGCAGCCCTTCCCCTCACGGGTGTCCCCAAAGCCCCTCACGGGTGTCCCCAAAGCCCCTCATGGGTGTCCCCATCCTCAGACCCTCATGATCGCAGCCTTTCCCCTCACGGGGGTCCTCAAAGCCCCTCACGGGTGTCCCCATCCTCAGACCCTCATGATCGCAGCCCTTCCCCTCACGGGTGTCCCCAAAGCCCCTCACGGGTGTCCCCAAAGCCCCTCATGGGTGTCCCCATCCTCAGACCCTCATGATCGCAGCCTTTCCCCTCACGGGGGTCCTCAAAGCCCCTCACGGGTGTCCCCAAAGCCCCTCCTGGGTGTCCCCATCCTCAGACCCTCATGATCGCAGCCCTTCCCCTCACGGGTGTCCCCAAAGCCCCTCATGGGTGTCCCCCATCCTCAGACCCTCCAGATCACAGCCCTTCCCCTCACGGGTGTCCCCAAAGCCCCTCACGGGTGTCCCCATCCTCAGACCCTCATGATCGCAGCCTTTCCCCTCACGGGTGTCCCCAAAGCCCCAGCAGCCCCGGCCCCGCTGACAGCGCCCGGGCCCGCCCCTCCCGTCGCGGCCTCACAAAATGGCGGCCGCGGCGAGCCCGTGAGGCGGCGGAAGGATATAGCACCTGCGGTAAAGAGTCCGAGGAGGAGGAGCAGAAAGATCGGGCTGGACCAGCCCTCGCTCTCAGCGGGAACTGTGGGGAATTCGGGGATTTCTCCTTCTTTTCTCCGTCGTTCTCCCCGCCCTGGGGCTGTGGGAGAGGCCGGGCAGGGAAGGGTTTTCCTCTGGCGGAAGGATTTCAATCAGTGAGGTTGGCGGGCCGTGATGGGTTCCTGGAGGTAGATCCGGCAGAGGCGTTTTTGCGCCAAGTATAAAATGGCGGCGGCGCCTCACTGAGGCGTGGTGGTTTAAATGTGCTTTGGGACTTTAAGAACTGCCATTTGTAAATGTATTTCTATGTATATGTGTGTATTTCAGCAGTTTGAGTATACCTGTCCCCTCTCAGCGCTTTCCAGTCCAGGATTTAGCTCCCCTCAGGCTGCCAAACCCCCCTGTCCAAGGTGTGTTACCCCTGATTTGCCCAAAATGTCCTTTTTTTTGAGGTAAAATTGGAACTCTGGGGGCTTATTTCTTCTCTGGGGTGTTTTCATGTGAGGCTTGGAAAAGCTGAAGTGTAAATAACATCCTTAATGTGCTTATAATAATCTTTTAGGCTTAGGTTTTCCACGCTTAAGTCTTCCACAGAATGTGCAAAGACGTTAAGGGTGAATTCCCAGCTCACCATAAAGAGATTTGAGATATTTTAATGCCAAAAAACTTGATGTCAGTCTGCATGTCCACAGGAATGTGTATGTTTTGAACTGATTTTATTTAAAGTTTCATAATAAATACTTCTCCTGCGGGTTTTCCTAGCTGGGAACACAGAAGTCAAAACAGCTCTGCAGAGGAGAGTTTACATTTTTCATCTCTGGTTTTACACAGATGGTTCAAAATCAGCATACTTGATTATTTCTGCAGATTACAGGAGAGCTGCATCAAATTGTCATAGTAGAATGCAGATTTTTTTTTTCCCCCAATTTTTTGCCTATTCCTGGCACTTTTTAAGTGCTGCCCCAGCCACATACCCCCAACTCTCAGGATGATTTTGGGATGCTCCACATCACTTCATCCCAATCCAGCCCAAAAAAAGCACATTCAAGAAGACAAATCAATCCCAGAAAACAATTTAGGAAGGAAAAAAAAAAAAAACCAAACCCACAAAACTGTTTAAAAGCCAAAAATTATTCCAGGTTGGGTTTTTCCTCCCATTTTGAGATGATGCTCAGAAATAAACCTCAGCAGGTGAAAATCTCCCCGGAGAAAACTCAAGGCTTCCACTTGAATGAATGCAGCATTGTTTGTTGTTGTTTTTAAAGGGTTAAGTGGGTGGAAAACCTGAAATATTTTCATCTGGGGGTAAGATCCATCTTTCAGCTCTGCCCCATCACCCTTCCAGACCCCACAATGTACCCAACACTGGGAATAAACCATGTGGGGCATAAAAAAAGGATGAAAAAAATCAAATTTGGGGGCAATAAACACCCAGCCTTGACCCCACTAAGCAAGGACAGAGCATTTCCATGTCTATCTACCCTCCTGGACAGAATTTTTTCTGCTTGGGCTCACACCACAAGGCTCAAAATTATTCTTTTTCTCAAGAAAAAGGTTTCTGCTGATATCTTGGGCGCATCCCTGCCTCTTCCACCTTTCATTCCCAAGGGGAAGGTTAAGGGACGAAGCAGAATTTTGAGAAATTGGGCCAGGGGAGCGCAGAGGGCCGATGCTTTCTGCAAAACCAGGGCGATTCCCATTGCTCCTCGTTTGCACAAACGAGTTTCCTAAAAAAGCACGTGAGAAATGAGCTGAAAAATTGTCACACAGGGCGGGGACAGTGACGCTGACATGGGGGTGGCACCTCCAAACCCTCTGGGAATGGAGGGGGGCAACTGGGGGGCTTCTTCTGCCCCTTCCCTTTGTGTTTGCCCCCAGCGCTGTCACTGGCACCGCTGTGATTCCAGCAGGAAAAGGGAGAGAGGATTTGGAGATTTTTGGGGAGCCCATCACCATCAAGGCTGCGGTGAGCTGCTGAGCGAATGACCAGCGGCAAAACTGCCCAGAAACCAAAAAAAAACCCAACCCAACGACCTCCAAAGCGACAACAAAACCAAATCCTGGCATGCCTGGCGGGAACAGAGAGAGCAGGGGGGTGAGGACGAGCAGGGGCTTCAAATTAAATCGAAATCTAAGGAGCTGATGCTGGCGATGGGAGCTCGCCAGAAATTAAAGCTGTTGAACTGCAGCAGACTATCGTCTTCTTCTTCTTCCTGGGAGAGGTCCTGGCTGCCTCGGTGGTCGCTGAGCTTGCCCAGCCCTCCCTTGGGCTTGTAGAGGGGCAGCTCTGAGAGCCCCAGCCCCTCCAGCTCGGCCATGTCCAGCCGTGGGATCGGCATCCTCCAGTAGATGAAGGAGTCGTACTGGCTGCTGATGGTGTCCAGCATCTTCAGGCTCTGAGGGGCACAAGGGGGGAAAGGGAAGGAAGAGAAAAGCGCTGCTGAAAACGCAGGAGTTGCCCCCAAAGTGGCCACAAATTTCAGGTGTGGGTATGTTGACCCTGTCCCGTAGGATAATCCTTAAAAAGGGGATGTCTTTTTCAGGGTAATCCCCTAAAAAGGTAATATTCTTTTTAGGATAACCCCATAAAAATGGGATATCCTTTTTAGGATAACCCCCTAAAAATGGGATATCCTTTTTAGGATGATTCCCTAAAAATGGGATATCCTTTCCAGGATAATCCTCTAAAAAAGGTGATATTCTTTTTAGGATAACCCCATAAAAATGGGATATCCTTTTCAGGATAATCCCCTAAAATGGGGATAACCTTTTTATCATAACCCCCTAAAAAGTGGATATCCTTTTTAGGATGATTCCCTAAAAATGGGATATCCTTTTCAGGATAACCCCCTAAAAATGGGGTATCCTTTCTAGGATAACCCCCTAAAAATGGGATATTCTTTTTTAGCATAAACCCCTAAAAAGTGGGTATCCTCTTTAGGATAACCCCCTAAAAAGGGGATACCCTTTTTAGGATAAAAATGGGATATCCTTTTTAGCATAAACCCCTAAAAAGTGGGTATCCTCTTTAGGATAACCCCCTAAAAAGGGGATACCCTTTTTAGGATAAAAATGGGATATCCTTTTTAGCATAAACCCCTAAAAAGTGGGTATCCTCTTTAGGATAACCCCCTAAAAAGGGGATACCCTTTTTAGGATAAAAATGGGATATCCTTTTTAGCATAAACCCCTAAAAAGTGGGTATCCTCTTTAGGATAACCCCCTAAAAAGGGGATACCCTTTTTAGGATAAAAATGAGATATCCTTTTTAGGATAAACCCTAAAAAGGAGTTGATGGTGGAGGAGAGCACGGGGCTGGGGAGGTTTGACTCTAGGCTGGGTCTAACTGCAGGCTCGAGCTCTGCAGGGTTTTATCCACACCCTTCTCTAACTCGGAGGGGGCCGTGCCTCAGTTTCCCCAAACACACAGCATGGGAGGGGAGGGCAGGGTGGGGATTAACCCCTCCTGAAATCCACCCTGAAAAGCACCCAAAGGAACTTTTTTTTTTCCCGCACACCTTTCCCTGATCCGAATCCCCTCGGAATTGGCACTGAGGGGGGGTCCCTGTGCAGCCCCCGATCCCACCCCATCCCTCCCTCCCCTGACCGAACCCTCTAGAAAGGGCTGGAAGGAGCCTCGCCCCGCGTTCCCACCACACCCCACCCCTCCCTGCAGCCGTCCATCCGTCCCTGCTGCAGAATTCCCCCTGCAGCCCCACCCCGATCCACCAAAAAAAAAAAAAAATTGGGAAAGAGCAGGACAAGACACGGATCAGCTTCACGATGGAGCTGAGTCACTGCCTGGGTTATGTCATTCCCATCCTCGATTGGTGAGGGGGAAAAAAAAAAAGCAGACTAACCCAAAACATCCTCATTTTCCTGCTGATTTTCCCCGTTTTAAATCGGAATTCTCAAGGATGATTCAGGCATATTTTGGACCTGTGCGATCAGCTGCTAAATTTAAGGTTCTGGATGTCACTCAGAGGCTGTGAAAGGCTCCCGTGTCACCCCCTCCGGGTAAACTGAGCCACAGGACTTTAAAATAGTCTCTTCCCTGGGAATTTATCCCTGGGGGGTCCATCCCTAGGGATGTATCCCTGAGTTTTTTGCAGCACGACGGCAGAGAATTATTAATGGGTGTTGAGGCTTTTTAAGCTCCAAATAGTGAAAAATTTGAGTTTAGCGACGAGAGGGGGGGAAAAGAGAGTTTAGTGACCAGTAAAACAAACAAAAACACAGTAAAACGGAATGAATGTGTGGGGGAAAACCCCTCTGGTGTGGCGTGCCACCCCTAAAAAAGCGCATTTCCCACTCCGCTCACCCCAGGGAAGCAAACCCACCTTTCTCCACTTAAACCCCGCTGCCCGTGCCTCACCCCCCCGCTCAAAAAGAGCACTCCGACACTCCCCTGCTCCCAAACCCTGGAATAAAATCACCCCCTGAGCATCCTCCGGGCTGGCGCGGCTCACCTGCGGAGGGCGGGCGGTGCCGGGGCCGGTGCCGGGGCCGGTGCCGGTGCCGGGGGCTCGGAGCGGGCGCTTTGTGCCGGGGAGCCGCGGGCGGAGCAGCGGCGCTTTTGTCTGCTGGGTCTGCAATGCAGCCCCTCCAGGCGCCCTTCCTCGCGCGGGGAGGATGATGGTGATGATGATGATGATGGGGATGATGGCAGATGAGTCAGCGGCTCCCACCCGCGCCAGGCAGGGAGGGGAGGGCGGCAGGGGCGGGTCCTGCGCGCTGGACCCCCGGGCTGAGGATGTACTAAAGCTGCTTCGCTCCTTCAGCTGCGTGCTGCGGGAAGAATTTTCAGCCGGCAAGGAGCTGGGGAATATTTCTTTTACCTGCATGTGAAGATGTGGGGTGCTGTGGTACCTGCAGACATTGGGAGGGCGTTGTGCAGGGAAATTTGGCTCAAAGAAACCCCCCTAAATTATATATATATAATTTATTTATATATATATATATATATATATATAATATAAATATATATACACTATATAATGTAATTATATAATAATTAGATCATAAATCATAATATATAATATAATTTATATAATATTATTTGTATAATGTTATTTGTATAATATTATATAATGTATTATATATATTATATATATATATATATTATATTATATTGTATATATATATCAATTTTTTTAATAAATCTGAGGTTGAGGGTATTTGGTCCTAAGGCCACACGGCAAAAATAAAAATATCCCAGACGTGGAACTAGACATAGAGGGAGACACCCAAAACTGGCATCAGTCACTGCCAGGGCTGAGGGGGGGCCTCACCCAGGCTGGGGGCACCTCCCACCCCCCTTTCCCCACATCTGATGCCGGGTGTTGGAGGGGCAGCAAAGAAAACAACCCCTCAGAGCAGGGAATCTCCCTGCCCAGCCCCACCGAGACCCCAAACACCTTTTTTGGGGGCACAGGCCACATCCATGCACCTGAGAGCTCAGGGCAGCCCCTGCCCTCCTCTCCCTGGGCTTTGCCTGAGATCAGCATTCTTTTGGTGCTTTAGGGTTTTTTTCCTTTATTTTCCTCCCTGTTCCCTGCGTGCAGTTCATTCCTGATGGTGCCAAGCTGTTCTGCCAGTGCTTGGTTTTCAGCCAGACTATTTCTGCCTCCTCTTCCTCCTCCTCCTCCTCCTCCCAGGCAAAGAGGATCCCATGTTCCTGCTCCAAAATAGACCCTCGGTCTCAGCACAGGGAAAATTCCAGCTGGGAGCCCTTCGGAGGATGCTGATCCCCCCAAGGCCTTGAGCTGCTCTGGTTTTGGGGGTCATGGGGTGCAGTTTGGCTGAGCAGCCTCATAAGAAGCTGGATGTCACCCCTCTCCGTGCTCTTTGGGGTGTCTGTCACCTGCTCACACGTGACAGACTGTGGTGTCCCTCTCTGAGAAGGGACCTGGGGCTGAACCCCAAGGGGACGGAGCAGTGAGGGGACTGCTCTGGGTTTTGGGAGGGCAGCAAGGGGGACAGTGTCCTCTGGCAGCACAAACACCAGAAATAAATTTTAAAAAAAGGGCTCTTCAGCTGAAATGAGGTCACAAACACTTGGGGTATTATCAGCCAGGGCCACCCGGTGGCTGGGGACAGGCGTGGGACAGGGACTGAGTGGGGACAGTGCTGCCTTGTTCAGCAGTTGTGGAGTGGGAGCAGTGTGGAGGGCTGGGATTTGGGGGCTGACACAGGAAGGGACACTGGCTCACACAGGGCAGTGGCAGTGACAGGGCTGTGGTGGTGGCAGTGACCCGGTGGCTGGGGACAGGCGTGGGACAGGGACTGAGTGGGGACAGTGCTGCCTTGTTCAGCAGTTGTGGAATGGGAGCAGTGCGGAGGGCTGGAGGGCTGGGATTTGGGGGCTGACACAGGAAGGGACACTGGCTCACACAGGGCAGTGGCAGTGACAGGGCTGTGGTGGTGGCAGTGGCAGGGCTGTGGTGGTGACAGTGGCAGGACTGCAGTGATGGCAGTGACAGGACAGTGGTGGCAGTGGCAGGACTACAGTGGTGGCAGTGACAGGACAGTGGTGGTGGCAGTGACAGGGCTGTGGTGGTGGCAGTGACAGGACAGTGGTGGCAGTGGCAGGGCTGTGTCAGTGGCAGGACTGTGGTGGCAGTGGCAGGGCTGTAGTGGTGGCACCATGACAGGACTGTGGTGGTGGCAGTGACAGGACTGTGGTGGTGCCAATGGCAGGGCTGTAGTGGTGGCCCAATGGCAGGACTACAGTGGTGACAGTGACAGGACTGTGGTGATGCCACCAGATGTTGTGCAAGCGGAAGGGCACCGACAGTGACAGGACTGTGGTGGTGCCACCAGATGTTGTGCAAGCGGAAGGGCACCGAGCTGAAGTGGTGACACCACCCAACGTGGCTGCAGGCTGGCGCCGGGGCTCCCACGCCTTTGGGTGCCCCACGGGCTCTGCTGCATCCCTGGAAAAAGGCTGGGGGGCAAATGGGAGCATAACCAGGACTTGGCAGGGACCCCCACCCTACCTGCTCCCTTGGCATTCCCCCAGCGCTCCTGGAAACCCCAAACCCTCCACCCCCACCTGGGGACCCCCAGCCTTAACAGGAGCTCAAGAACCCCGAGTCCTTCTGGGACCCTGGAGACTCCCGTTCTGACCAGGACCCCCATTCCTACCGGGACCCCATGTTCCCATTCCTACTGGGACCCCGTGTTCCCATTTCTACCGGGACCCCCATTCCTACAGGACCCCCATTCCTACCGGGACCCCAGCCCCCATTCCTACGGGACCCCCATTCCTACCAGGACCCCATGTTCCCATTTCTACTGGGACCCCAATTCCTACCGGGACCCCGGCCCCTATTCCTACTGGGACCCCTATTCTTACTGGAACCCCCATTCCTACCGTGACCCCGTGTTCCCATTCCTACCGGGATCCATGTACCCATTCCTACCGGGACCCTTATTCTACCAGGACCCCCATTCCTACCGGGACCCCCATTCCTACCGGGACCCCATGTTCCCATTCCTACCGAGAGCCCCTGGGACCCCATTCCTACCGGGACCCCATTCCTACCGGGACCCCATTCTTACTGGGACCCCGGCCCCCCATTCCTACCGGGACCCCATTCCTACCGGGACCCCATTCTTACTGGGACCCCGGCCCCCCATTCCTACCGGGACCCCATTCCTACCGTGCCCCCGCTCCTAGCGGCCCCGGTGCCGGCCCCGCAGTGCCGGCGGTTCCCGGGGAGGGCGCTGTGCCGGGCCGGGCCGTGCCGAGCCGCGCCGGGCGGCGGGAGCTGCGCCGCGTCCGCACCGGGCCACGCCTGGGGCTGCGAGCGGGGCACCGGGACCCGCACCGGGACCGGGACCGCCGAGCCGCGCTGGGCTGAGAGCGGGGCACCGGCACCGGGGCTCGCACAGGGATCGGGACCGGCGCTCCCGGGCCACGCTTGGGGCCGCTGCGAGCCGGACACCGGCAGCGGGACCGGGAGCTGGACTTGCGAGCCGCGCGTGGGCTGCGAGCCCGAAACCGGCACCGGGAGCCGCTGAGCCGGGACAGGTAACGGGGCGGCCACGGGGACGGGAACCGGCCGGTGCGACCCCGGGGAAGGGCCCCGGAACCGGGGAGGGAGGAGAGGGCAGCGGGATGGGCACCGGGATGGGCACCGGGATGGGCACCGGAACGGGAGCGGGGCGGCGGGACGACCCCCCTTGCAGCTCCGCCGGTTGAACCGGGGAGCCCTCCCGGGATCCGCCGGCTCTCCCCAGCCCCACCGGGACCACCGGGCCTGCCGGCTCCCACCAACCCCACCGGGACCCCCGGGTCCCCAGCCCTCTGGGACTCCCGAGCTGCCGGAGCCCCGGGGGTCGCGGCCGGGCCCGTCCCTCGCAAGGGCAGCTCGCCTCGCACTCCCGGGGGTCCCGGGCGCTGTCCCCCCGCCCAGCGCTGTCCCCACACTCTGCGCTCCCCTGCGAGCTGTGGGGGACCCCAGCGGGCTCCCTGCGGGCGGGGCAGCGCGGTGCGGGGGCTCGGAGCGGAGCCCCGGCCCCGGCCCGCCGCTGACGCAGAGCCCGCCGGTGCTTTCCCAACCGGGAAGTCGTTCCGCCTGTGCCGGCAGGCCCGGGCCCCAAGCCGCCCTGCCCGCGGCTACCGAGCTGCCCCGCCGGGCTGAGCCCGGCCACGGCTCATCGCAGGGGTGGGCGGGGGGCGTGGGACCCCCAAAGCGGGGATTTACCCCGGCAGGAGCCGCCCGGAGCCGCCCGGAGCCGGGCCGGCCGCGCCGGCGGCCTTTGAGGGCGTGAGGCCTGGCGGGTGCCGGGGGGGCTTCGAGGGCCGCGGGCGGGGGGTCGTGGTCGTGTGAGCGCTGGTGGGCTCGCTCGTGGTGGCTCGTCCCTGGCCGAGCTCCCCACGGAGGCCGCCCCGGTGCCCCGGCTGCAGCGCTGAGCTCGGGGGCACCTCCCCAGCCAGGCCCGGCCGCTGCTCGGCCGGATCCCAGCGCTCTCCGGGCCCTGTTTGCTAGGGAAAGCAGGCTGGCAAGGAAAGGCGGCCCCCTCCTCATCTGCCCCGCAGCACCCCTTTCATCTGCCCCGCATCCCCCTCCTCATCTGCCCTGCAGCCCCTCCTCTCTGCCCCACAGCCCCTTCCTCATCTTCCCCACAGCCCCCCTCATCTGCCCCACAGCTCCTTCCTCTCATCCCTGAAGCCCCCTCCCCATCTGCCCCACAGCTCCTTCCTCTCTGCCCCTCAGCCCCTTCCTCATCTGTCCTGCATCCTCTTCCTCATCTTCCCCGCAGCCCCCTCCTGCTCTGCCCCGCAGCCGGGGCCAGCCCGGGTTTGCGGGGGCACGGAGCCGGTGTGCACCGAGCGTGTCACAGCCTGCCCGGGAGCGGCTCCCGGGGCACGGGGACACGGGGGGGACACGGGGGTGCTGTGCTTGTGGGGGCACGCTCCCCACGGGTTGCCCGGTGATTCCGGGGGGTTCCTGCGGACAGACCCTGCGTGCCCGGGCTGGGCTGGGATCCCCCGTTCTGGGGGGCTGCCCCGGGCCCCGCTCCTCCCCGGCGGAGCAGGAAGCGCGGCCGGACTTTGGTCCATCCGGCGGCACCGGCGCGGGGCCAGAGGAAGGAACTTGTGCTGTTTGCTCGGTGGGTCCGGCACCCATGGGCCCCGGGGGCTCTCCCGTGGCCGGCACCGGGCTGAGCTCCGGCCCCTCGTGGGTGGGTGGGTGAGTTCCCTGCGTGCTGCTTTGCTGCTTTTTTGTCTCTCCTTAGCATGAGCAGCCCCCATTTTGGGGGTGAACGCCCCCTTTGCACACCTCCTTGCCCACCCCGGGCGGTACCGTGGGAGTTTGGGATGAAATCCCAGCCGTCCCTGTTTATTTCTGCCCCGGCTGCTCTTCAGAAGCTGCAGCGGAAGAGCTCGAGCTCCGGCCCCTTTTCGGAAAGGCCGGGATATTTATAGCTGCCCGGCTCAGGGAGTTGGGATTTGCTGCCTCCATCCCCCCCATCCTGCCGCAGCATCCTTCAGCTGTGTCCTGCCCTGGAGCGGGGCACAACGCCCAGCCACGGCCGTGGGGACAGCTCTGGGGGTCCCTGTCTGATCCCTGGGGATCTCCTTGCCGTGCCAGCTGTCCCCTTGGGTGCTCCGTGTGTGACCCAGGGCTCTGCTGGCGCTCTCAGCCTTTTGCTGCTATGTTCTAGCATTAATTGGGGAGCTCAGGCCTGGAAGCATCACTCTCCCTCCCCACTCGCAGCCAGCTCCTCCCCACGCCGTGCCACCCCGAGCAGGTGTCCCCATGGAGTGACCCGGGGCTCCCGGCAGCTGTGCCAGCGCGGGGCGACGCTGGCTGCCACCACCATGAGTGACTTCTGGCACAAGCTGGGCTGCTGCGTCGTGGAGAAGCCGCAGCCCGTGAGTCCCCCCCCAGCCCTGTGCAGCCCTTTCGGGCAGGGCTGTGGGGGGCTCATGGCCTTCGTCCCCTTGCAGAAGAAGAGGAGGAGAAGGATCGACCGCTCCATGATCGGGGAGCCCATGAACTTCGTGCACCTGACGCACATCGGCTCCGGGGACATGGCTGCGGGAGAGGGGCTGCCCATGGTACCGAGGGCCGGGGGTCTGCCTGGGGGGCTCAGGGCAGGGGGTTGGGTCCCTCACCTGGGTGACAGGCGGTGCTTTTGGGGTGGCAGGTGTTGGTTTTGGGGTGGTAAAGCCTAAAATTGGGTGGTGGGTCTTGTTTTGGGTTGCTGGGTCTCGGGGCTGAGTGACTGGTGGTGCTTTTGGGGTGGCAGGTGTTGGTTTTGGGGTGGTAGAGTCTCACAGTTGGGTGCTGGGTGGTGTTTTGGGGTGCTGGGTCTCAGGTTTGGGTGCTGGGTGCTTTTTTAGGGTGCTGGGTATTGTTTTGGAGTGGTAGAGTCTCACAATTGGGTGGTGGGTGTTGTTTTGGGGTGCTGGGTCTCAGGTTTGGGTGCTGGGTGGTTTTTTTGGAGTGCTGGGTGTTGTTTTGGGGTGCTGGGTCTCAGGGCGGAGTGCTGGGTGGTGCTGGGTGGTGTTTTGGGGTGCTGGGTCTCAGGTTTGGGTGCTGGGTGTTTTTTTAGGGTGCTGGGTGTTGTTTTGGAGTGGTAGAGTCTCACAATTGGGTGGTGGGTGTTGTTTTGGGGTTCTGGGCGTTGTTTTGGGGTGCTGGGTCTCAGGGTGGGGTGCTGAGTCTCAGGGCTGGGTGCTGGGTGGTTTTTTTGGGGTGCTGGGTGTTGTTTTGGAGTGGTAGAGTCTCACAATTGGGTGGTGGGTGTTGTTTTGGGGTGCTGGGTCTCAGGGTGGGGTGCTGAGTCTCAGGGCTGGGTGCTGGGTGGTTTTTTTGGATACTGAATGTTGTTTTGGGATGCTGGGTCTCAGGGCTAGTTTCTGGGTGTTGTTTTGTGGTGCTGGGTGTTTTTTTGTGGTGCTGGATGTTGTTTTGGGGTGCTGAGTGTTGTTTTGGGGTGCTGGGTGTTGTTTTGCTGGGTCTCTGTGTTGGGTGCTGGGGTTTTTTTTGGGGTGCTGGGTGTTGTTTTGGGATGCTGGGTCTCAGGGCTAGTTTCTGGGTGTTGTTTTGTGGTGCTGGGTGTTTTTTTGTGGTGGTGGCTGTTATTTTGGGGTGCTGGGTGTTTCTTTGTGGTGCTGGGTGTTGTTTTGGGGTGCTGGGTGTTGCTTTGGGGTGCTGGCTGTCCTGTCTGGGCACAGGGGGGTGACAGTCCTCTCTGCAGACCGGTGCTGTCCAGGAGATGAGGTCCAAGGGCGGCCGGGAGCGACAGTGGAGCAACTCCCGTGTGTTGTAGCGTGTGAGTGGCACCCCCAGCGTCCCCTCAGACGCCCCAGCCACCACCTGGGCACTCCCACAAACCCGTCCTCTTGCATTTTACAGATTCCTGGCTTTTTCAGCCCAAACTTGAACTGCCTGACCCCCCCGCTGGAGGAGAAGCCGACCTGGAGTGCTTTAGCCCCGCGGTATTTATGCAGCACCGTCCTCGCCCAGCTCCCGGTGACTTTGGGTCGTCATCCCTCTGGAAAACCCCTCCTTCCCGGAGGTCCTGGCTGGTGACATGGGGAGGGAGCAGGGACAGCAGCCCCCATCTCCTGCCCCGCCTGGAAAGGACACAGCCACCCCCTGAAGCGTGCCAGGAGCTGCCAGGCGCAGCCCACGCGTCCCAAATCCTCCCAGTTTTCTCTTTTCTTGCTCCCGTGTCTCCCGTGGGCTGCGTGGTGGTGCCTCAGTTTCCCCAGGGAGCCAGCCATGGTGCAGAGGCAGCTTTGATGCCTCCCAGAACACCACAGAGGAGCAAAACCAGGATTAAGCCCTGATATTCTGGTGCCAAACCAGAGTTAAACCCAAGATGTCCTGGTGCCAAACCAGGATTCGATGTCAAACTGGGCTTAAACCCCAAATCCTTGGAGCAGAACCGGGATTAACCCCCGATGCTTCGGTGCCAAACCAGGATCTGACCCCACAGTGCCTCCAGCCGGCATTCCACCGCCGCCAAACTCCCACCTCCCCCCTTTTTTTAGGATCTGTTCTTATTTTTAAGCTCCAAAACCCACCTGAGCGGCCTCCACCACCTCGGGCAGGACCGTGGTGGGGTCCCCTCCACCCGGGATTGTCCCCAGCCCTGGCTGAGGCTGGACAAGGCCTGGCCTGAGAAGGGCTCTGGAATTCAGGCGCGGGTGTACATAGTTTAATTAGCGCCAGGATTAAATATTAAATAGCACGTGCTGGGTGACAGAGCCTTTCCCCTGCCCTGTGCCCTGGTGGGAGCCGGGCTTTTCCAGCCCCTGTGTCGTGCTCGGGTCAGGGTTTTTGGGAAAAAAACATTCCACCCTTGAAATAAATGCCTTGTGCTGGCCCCAGGGGTGGGTGCACGAGCTGCCCCAGGCTCCTCGCTCCCTCCTCGGCTCCTGGAGCAGCCAAATCCACTGGGAAAAGCTGATATTCACAGCAGGCAGAGGCCTCGACTTTTTATGGCACAACCAGTTTCCTCCTGGCTGGGCTGGACTCGGGAGTGTGGCTGCACTGACACCCCCTCCTTGGACACCCCAGAATGTTCCTGTGACCCACTGTAGAGGGGATTGCACCCCAGGGAAAGAGGGGGTGCACCCCCAGCTCGAGTGGGGCAGCACCCCGTCCCAGAATAAAAGCCAAGAGCCAAAACTGGAAGAAAAGGGAGATTTAATCCTTGGAGAACAGTGACAGTTCTGGACGGCTGCATGTCCGGACCCCCCCTCTGGGGCCCCCCTCTGCCCCCCAAGGAAGATCATCAAGAACTCCTTAACTCCCCCACCCCAACGCCTTCATTAAGGGGGTGCAACTCCACGGCATCCCCAAAATCCCACCCTGGGGCCCACTGGGGCGGAGGGAGCCACTGGGGGGGACAAACCACGACGGGGACCAGGAGCTGAGCTCCGCCACAGGCAGCTGCAACCCCCCCACACCCAGGCACGCCACGGGGCCACACTCAGAGACCCCAACTTCTCATCCAGACCTCAACAAACCCCGGGGGTGCCTGCTGCTATTTCGGGGAGCCGGGGGGCTGCCCCGCGGCGATGCGGCTGACGCGCTCCAGGACATCCTGGGGACACAGCGGCGGCACGGCCTGCGCCAGGGGACACTCCTCCACCAGGCTGTTCATGGGGGTGGGCGGGGGCACCACCTCCTCCTCGGGACCCCCGGCGGCCCCCAGGCCCCCCAGGGCTGCCCGCAGGATGGGCAGCACCTTCTTCCGAGCGGCCACGGCGTTGCCCTGGGCGTAGGCGGCCACGCAGGGCCAGGGGCTCGGCAGCGGCCGCAGCTGCAGCGACGGCGACGTCGCCTCCTCCAGCGCCCGGCACAGCTGCAGGGGGGCGAGCGTGGGGCTGCGACCTGCCCAGCACCCCCAAAAACGGGAGTTTCTGGGGTGAAGCTGAGCTGGCGGCCCGACTCACCGTGCCGCGCAGCGGCTCCTGCGCGCTGTACACCGCGAGTTTCCGCGTGGGCTCGTGGCGCTCGTTGAAGGACACGGTCATGGCCACCAGCGCCGCGTAGCCACGGGCCTGGCAGAACGCCTCCAGCTCCTGCAGCAAGCCAGGCCGCAGCAGGAACGTCTGGACACAAGGGAGGCACCTCGGTGTCACCGTGATGTCCCCAGCGTGTCCCTGCCTCAGTTTCCCCCTCAGCCCCAAGCCTCACTTCCAGGTCCTCGAAGACGCCGCTGATGCCGACGACAGCCTCGTCGTTGGAGAGGACTTTGAGGTCCTTCCGCAGCATCTGCTCCGTCGTCAGCCCTGGGAGGTGGCCAGGGGATGAGGCCGGGGGCACCTTCCCGTCCCCAAGGAGAGGGGGACACCCTGACACACACCTGTGACATCGAACTTGGCCGCCTGCAGGGCTCCGAACACGGCGTCGCGGGCCGGCAGCTCCGGGAACCTCTCCTCGAGCAGGGCCACGCAGGCCACGTCCCGGGGCGTCACCTTGCCCGCGGCCGGGCTCAGGTTGATGCAGTCCAGCAGGATGGTGCCTGCGGGGACGAGCGGCGCCGTGGTGTCACCGTGTCACCACGGCCGGGCTCGGGCAGGACCGCCGTGCTCACCGTGCAGCAGCGCGGCCGTGGTTCTGTCCAGCACGCCCGGGGGGCCCTGCAGGATCCGCTCGGTCACCAGCGTGGCGCAGGAGCCCACGGGCTCCACGGTCACCTGGCACGGGGGTGCGCGGGCCCGCTCCAGCGGCCGGTGGTCCAGGACCTCCACCACGGCCTCCTCCAGGGCAGCATCAGCACTGCTGGGCAAGGGGAAGGGTCACGCCCGGCAGAGCCTGCCAAACCCCCATATTTCCTTTTTTTCCCCTAAAAATTCGCTAGAAATGGATCAACCTCACCCACCCCGGGCGTCAAAATCAACCACGGCCCCCAGCGCGCTCACCCGGGCAGGACGTGGTGATCGACCAGCGTCAGGGAGAGCAGCCCGGCGTGGTGCAGCCCCGCCAGGTCGATCTCGTCCCGAAAAAGCAGCGCGGCGGGCGGCACGCCCCGCTCCCGCAGCAGGAACGCGGTCTCCGTCCGCAGCGCGAAGTCGGCGCGGGGGATGTTGAGCACGGGCACGAAGGCGGCTTTGGGAGCCGGGGTGGTCTGCAGCAGGGGGGTCACACCCAGTGAGGCGTCCCCCCGGGCCACCGGTGGTCGCTGGGCTGGTGGCCGAGCCTCACCTGGGCGAGGAAATAAGCCAGGGCCAGCGCGGAGACGGTGGAGTCCAGGTCACAGGCCTCGTTGCCCATCACCACGTGGATCTCCCGGTGCTGCTGGATGTGGTCCTGTGGGGATGGGAGGTGTCAGGCACGGCCCCGTCCTCCAAAATCCTCCCTTGTGCTCAGCAGTGTCCCTGGAGCCACCCATCACAGGTGTCACCCACGGGTTGGACCCTCCTGGCACCCCTGGGGCTGGCTGGGATCCACTTCTGGCATTAAACCCTCGGGGCTTTGGGGTGTGTGTGGAGTGAGGTGTGTTGGGATTCCAGGAAAACTCACCAGGAGAGGCCAGGGACCATCCCAGCCCCGCAGCCCTGAGTGTTTTACCCCATTTATTCTACAATCTGGGGCAGGTTGTCACCCCAAAACATGATGTTTCACCCTCTTTTGCTTGCCTGCAGCAGCAGGAAAAACGTGTCACTCCCCTGTCCCCCGCCCACAGGAGCCACCCCATCCCCAGCCCTGATTTTTGGGACAATTCTCTGCTGCCATAACCCAGATTTGCTAATTTTTGATAGAAACTGAGGACAAAAAAAAACCCAAAACAACAACCCGAGAGCAGCTGCAGCCCAAACCCCTCGGCAGGAAATGTTTTGGGGTGTCCCTGGTGTGGCTGTGCCCTGTGGGCACCCCCAGCCCCGAGGGCACCCCGCTCTCCTGGCCCCTCTGCTCCCCACAGCACCCCAATCCACGGGGCTCATCTCCTCCTGCTCCCCCAATTCCCTGCACCCCCATTTCCCTGCTTCGCATTTCCCTTCCTGCACCCCCATTTCCCTGCACCTCCATTTCTCTGCTCTGCTCCCCCCATTTCCTGCACCCCAATTCCCTCCTGCTCCCCCCTTTCCCTGCTCCCCCCATTTCCTGCACCCCAATTCCCGCAGGTCAGCGAGGGCTGGGCTGCTCCCGTTCCCCCCGTTCCCCCCAGCCCCCCGTACCTGCAGGGCCGCCCGGTTCCCCGCCACGAAGCGCTCCATGACGGCAGCGATCCGCGCCCCGAGGCGCCAGCACGGCCCAGTACGGCCCAGTATGGCCCAGTACGGCCCAGTATAGCCCAGTATGGCCCAGTACGGCCCAGCAGAACCCAGTACAGCCCACTATAACCCAGTACAGGCCCAGCACAGGCTACCCCAGCCCAGTATAAGTTCAGACTATCCCAGTCCAGCCCAGTATCCCCAGACTGTCCAGTATCACCCCAGACTGTCCCAATATCACCTGGACTATCCCAGTATCCCCCAGTCCATCCCAGTCCAGCCCAGTATCACCCCAGACTATCCCAGTATCACCCCAGACTGTCCCAGTACCAGAAGCGCCAGCCCCACCCCCCACCCCCCTCAGGGGTGACCCCCCGAAATTCGGGGGCACCCCCAAAATTAAACCTTTAAGCCCCGGGTGTCCCAGTCCGTCCCAGTCCGTCCCAGTCCGGCCGTGCCGCCCCTCCCCCCGCGCCGCAGGGCCCGCTGGGTTGGGGGCGGGGCCGTTCCCGGCATGCCCCGCGCTGGGGGGGCTCGGGGGGGACCCCAAATCTCCGCTTTTCACCCCAAAACCCCCCCGTGACCCCAAACCTCCTCTTCCTCCTCCTCCTCCTCCTCCTCCTGCCCCAAATCCGCCTTGGCGGGGGCGGCCGGAGCCAGGTGGGAACCAGGCCCCGGAAAGGGGAAAAAAAGGGAAAAAAGGAGAAAAAAAAAAAGAAAAAAAGGGAAAAAAAGAAGAAAAAACAGGAAGGGAAGAGGATAAAAAAGGGGTGAATTTAAAAAAAGGAAAAAAAAGGGAAAGGAAGAGGAGAGAAGCGAAGGAGGAGCGCGGAGGAATTAAAAAAAAAAAGAGGATTAAAGAGGAAAAGCAGAGGGGAAAGAGGAGGAAAAAGAAGGAAAAAGGGGAAAAAAGGAGGAGAGAAGAAGGAAAAAAAGCAAGAGGAAAGGTAAAGGGAGGTTTGGAGGGTTGGAAAGGAGGGATAAAGGGAAAAGAACCGGGAAGAGGTGGGGAGAGGAGGAAAAATAGAGGAAAGAAGGGAAAATGAGGGGAAAATAGAGAAAAGACAGGAAAAAAGAGAAAAAAAAAATGAAGAAAAGTCAGAAAAAAGGAGCAGAAAATAAAGGAAAGTCAGGAAAAAAGAGCAAAAAAATAAAGAAAAGTCAGAAAAAATGTGCCTCTTAAATGGCACTGCGTTTTATTTTATTTTATTTTATTTTATTTTTTATTTGATTTTATTTTATTTATGTTAAAATTTGATTTTATTTTAAAATTTGATTTTATTTTAAAATTTGATTTTATTTGATGTTAAACTTTGATTTTATTTTAAAATTTTGTTTTATTTTATTTTAAATCCTATTGTATTTTATTCTATAAAATATTCTATTTCCAAATATTCTATTTCCAATTCCTCTGTCTGTTTAAAGGCCAAATTTCCAATTTTCTGGGATGTTAACGAGCCAGATCTTCCAAATCTCCAGACAATCTCAAAGCCATTGTAAAGAAATGGGGGAGGAAAAAAATCTCACCTAGATGAGTTAAATTGGACTAAAATATATATATACATATATAAGTAAATATAAAAATATACATATATTTATATACTTATGGTATATGAAATAAAGAAAAGCAAGGAAATGGGGAGGAAAAACAAGGAATAAAGAAGGAAAATAAGGAAAACCAAGGAATAAATAAGGAAAAGGAGGAAAAGCAAGGAATAAAGAAGGAAAAACAAGGAATAAAGAGAATAAATAAGGAAAAGGAGGAAAAACAAGGAATAAAGAAGGAAAAAGAGGGAAAACAAGGAATAAAGGAGGAAAAGGAGGAAAAACAAGGAATAAAGAAGGAGGAACAAGGATTAGAGGAACAAAATGAAGGAAAAGCAGGAAGGGAGCAGGGAGGCTAGGGTTATATTTATATTTATAAACATATAAATATTTCTATTTCTACCTCTGTGTTTTCCTGAAATAGCCCCATTTTCCCTCCTCAGGCTGAGGTTTGGGATGCAGCTCCTGGACAGACCCCGAGCACTCCCAGGAGCCTGATCGGAGCCGGAGCAGCCCCAGAGGGTCCCATGGAGCAGGAGGGGACACCCCGGCCCCAGGAGGAGGCCAGGGTTGGGGACACAATTCCCGGTGTTGGGGACACAATTCCCAATGTTGGGGACACAATTCCCGGTGTTGGGGACACAATTCCCAATGTTGGGGACACAATTCCCGGTGTTGGGGACACAATTCCCAGGGCTGGGTCTCTGCGGGCCCCCCGAGCTCAGCCTGGCCCTGTCCCTGTCCCCACAGGCGGGCGGGCAGCGGCGGCCGCGGCCGGACTCGGACTGCAGGCTGCTGTAGCACCCCAGCCCGGGGGTCCCTGAGCCCCCAGACCCCCCAGACCCCGCTCTGCATCCTCATGGACGTCCTGGGGGTCCCCACAGCCCCCCCAGACCCCCCTCTGTGTCCTCCAGGGACGTCCTGGGGGTCCCCACACCCACAGCCCCACCTCTGTGTCCCTGAGGGACATCCTGGGGGTCCCACAGCCCACCCAGACCCTGCTCTGCATCCAGGGAAATCCTGGGGGTCCCGACACCCCCAGACCCCCCTCTGTGTCCTCCAGGGACATCCTGGGGGTCCCTGGGGGGCTGGAGATGAGGGGGTGACCGTCTGAGCCCACCCCAAACTTCCCAGTGGCCTTAACCTCCCACTCGGGGGGTCCCACTCGGGGGGTCCCACTCGGGGGGTCCCACGGCTCAGCCCGTGCTCTGGGACACGGGGGGATGGGGGGACAGGGACCCCTCCCCAGTTCAGGATGTGGCCTTAGCCCTCGGCAAGTAAAGGACTTGTGCCCTGCACGGGGGTCTGGCAGCCTGGCACCTGGGGGGGCTGGGGGGGTC